TGACAACCCCAAACCTATAGGATGCAGTAAAAGCAGTTCTGAGAGGGAAGTTTATAGCAATACAATGCTACCTCAAGAAACAAGAAAAATCTCAAATAAAAAACCTTACCTTACACCTAAAGGAATTAGAGAAAGAAGAACAAAACAAAACAAATCAAAAACCCCCCCAAAAGGAAAGGAATCATAAAGATCAGATCAGAAATATGTGAAAAAGAAATGAAGGGAACAATAGTAAAGCTGGCTCTTTGAGAAGATAAACAAAATTGATAAACCATTAGCCAGACTCAATAGGAAAAAAAGGGAGAAGACTCAAATCAACAGAATTAGAAATGAAAAAGGAGAAGTGACAACTGACACGGCAGAAATACAAAGGATCATAAGAGACTACTGCAAGCAACTCTATGCCAGTAAAATGGACAACCTGGAAGAAATGGATAAATTCTTAGAAATATACAACCTCCCAAGACTGAACCAGGAAGAAATATGTATATATCAATCACAAGTACTGAAATTGAAACTGTGATTAAAAATCTTCCATCAGGGCTTCCCTCGTGGTGCAGTGGTTGGGAGTCCACCTGCCGATGCAGGGGACACGGGTTCGTGCCCCAGTCCGGGAAGATCCCATATGCCGCGGAGCGGCTGGGCCTGTGAGCCATGGCCGCTGGGCCTGCGCGTCCGGAGCCTGTGCTCTGCAACGGGAGAGGCCACAGCAGTGAGAGGCCCGCGTACCGCAAAAAAAAAAAAAAAAAAAAATCTTCCATCAAGGGCTTCCCTGGTGGCGCAGTGGTTGAGAGTCTGCCTGCCGATGCAGGGGACATGGGTTCATGCCACGGTCTGGGAGGCCGCTGAGCCTGCGCGTCCCAAGCCTGTGGTTCACAATGGGAGAGGCCACAGCAGTGAGAGGCCTGTGTACCGCAAAAAAAAAAAAAAAAAAATCTTCCATCAAACAAAAGCCCAGGACCAGATGACTTCACAGGTGGAATTCTATCAAGCATTTAGAGAACAGCTAACACCTATCCTTCTCAAACTCTTCCAAAATATAGCAGAGAGAGGAACACTTCCAAATTCATTTTATGAGGCCACCATCACTCTGATACCCAAACCAGACAAAGATGTCACAAAAAAGAAAATTACAGGCTAATAACACTGATGAACATAGTTGCAAAAATCCTCAATAAAATACTAGCAAACAGAATCTGACAGCACATTAAAGGGATCATACACCATGATCAAATGGGGTTTATCCCAGGAATGCAAGGATTCTTCAATATATGCAAAGCAATCAATGTGATACACTATATTAACAAACTGAAGAATAAAAAACTTATGATAGGGCTTCCCTGGTGGTGCAGTGGTTGAGAGTCCGCCTGCTGATACAGGGGACACGGGTTCATGCCCTGGTCCTGGAAGATCCCACATGCTGTGGAGCAGCTGGGTCTGTGAGCCATGGACGATGAGCCTGCGCATCCGGAGACTGTGCTCTGCAAAGGGAGAGGCCACAACAGTGAGAGGCTCATGTACCGCAAACAAACAAACAAACAAACAAAAACTTATGATAATCTCAATAGATGCAGAAAAAGATTTTGACAAAATTCAACACCCATTTATGATAAAAACGCTGTAGAAACTGGGCATAGAGGGAACCTACCTCAACATAATAAAAGCCATATATGACAAACCCACAGCCAACATCATTCTCAGTGGTGAAAAATTGAAAGCATTTCCTCTAAGATCAGGAACAAGACAAGGGTGCCCACCCTCACCACTGTTATTCAACACAGTTTTCAAAGTTTTAGCCACGGCAATCAGAGAAGAAAAAGAAATAAAAGGAATGCAAATTGGAAAAGAAGTAAAACTGTCACTGTTTGCAGATGACATGATATTATACATAGAGTATCCTAAAGATGCCACCAGAAAACTGCTAGAGCTAATCAATGAATTTGGTAAAGTTGCAGCATACAAAATTAATGCACACAAATCTCTTTCATTCCTATACACTAATAATGAAAGACCAGAAAGACAAATTAAACACTCCCATTTACCACTGCAACAAAAAGAATAAAGTACCTAGGAATAAACCTACCTAAGGAGGCAAAAGACCTGTACTCAGAAAACTATAAGACACCGATGAAAGAAACCAAAGATGACACAAACAGATGGAGAGATATACCATGTTCTTGGATTGGAAGAATCAATATTGTGCAAATAACTAAACTATCCAAAGCAATCTACAGATTCAATGCAATCCCTATCAAATTACCAAAGGCTTTTTTTACAGAACTAGAACAAAAAAATCTTAAAATTTGCATGGGGACACAAAAGGCTCCAAATAGCCAAAGCAATACTGAGGGGAAAAAAAAATGGAGCTGGAGGAATCAGAGTCCCTGACTTCAGACTATATGACAAAGCTACAGCAATCAAGACAATATGGTACTAGCACAAAAACAGAAATATAGATCAACAGAACAGGATAGAAAGCCCAGAGATAAATCTATGCATGTATGGTCACCTTATCTTTGACAAAGGAGGCAAGAATATACAATGGAGAAAAGACAAGTTCTTCAATAAGTGGGGTTGGGAAAACTGGACAGCTACATGTAAAAGAATGAAATTAGAACACTTCTTAATACCATACAAAAATAAACTCAAAGTGGATTAAAGACCTAAATGTAAGACCAGACACTATAAAACTCTTAGAGGAAAACATAGGCACAATACTCTATGACATAAATCATAGAAAGATCTTTTTTTATCTACCTCCTAGAGTAATGGAAATAAAATAAAAAATAAACAAATGGGACCTAATGAAACTTAAAAGCATTTGCACAGCAAAGGAAACTAGAAACGATGAAAAGACAACCCTCAGAATGGGAGAAAATATTTGCAAATGAAGCAACCAACAAGGGATTAATCTCCAAAATCCACAAGCACCTCATTCAGCTCAATATCAAAAAAACAAACAACCCAATCCAAAAATGGGTGGAAAACCTAAATAGACATTTCTCCAAAGAAGACATACAGATTGCCAACAAACACTTGAAAAGATGCTCAACATCACTAATCATTAGAGAAATGCAAATCAAAACCACAATGAGGTAACACCTCACACTGGTCAGAATAGCCATCATCAAAAAATCTACAAACAATAAATGCTGGAGAGAGTGTGGAGAAAAGGGAACCCTCCTGTACTGTTGGTGGGAATGTAAGTTGGTGCAGCCACTATGGAGGACAGTATGGTGGTTCCTTAAAAAACTAAAAACAGAACTACCATATGACTCAGCAATCCTACTACTGGGCATATACCCTGAGAAAACCGTAATTCAAAAAGATACATGTACCACATTGTTCATTGCAGCACTATTTACAATAGCCAGGACATGGAAGCAACCTAAATGTCCATTGACAGATGATTGGATAAAGAAGGTGTGGCACATATAGACAATGGAATATTACTCAGCCATAAAAAGGAACAAAAATGAGTTATTTGTAATGAGGTGGATGGACCTAGAGTCTGTCATACAGAGTGAAGTAAGTCAGAAAGAGAAAAACAAACACTGTATGCTAATGCACATACATGGAATCTAAAAAAACGGTACTGATGAGCCTATGGCAGGGCAGGAATAAAGATGCAGATGTAGAGAATGGACTTAAGGACATGGCGGGGAAGGGGAAGCTGGAACGAAGTGAGAGAGTAGCATTGACATATATACACTACCAAATGTACAATGGATGGCTAGTGGGAAGCTGTTGCATAGCACAAGGAGATCAGCTCAGTGCTTTGTGACCACCTAGAAGGGTGGGATAGGGAGGGGAGGAGGGGGAGGCAAGAGGGAGGGAATATGGGGATATATATATATATGTATAGCTGATTCACCTTGTTTGTTGTACAGCAGAAACTAACACAACATTGTAAAGCAATTATACTCCAATAAAGATATTAAAAAAAAAAAAGAATGAGTAGGAACCTAGAAGTTTGTATAAAGGGATGCAGAGAGTTAAGGAATTTTTTGGTAATTGCATTATTTTGCCAAACAAACAAGAAGCATGACTGTTTGATAAGAATAAGGGGGGAAGGATAGTAGGGCAAGAGAGTAAAATGAGAATTGAGGATTTGTAATAGCAATTGCATAGAAAGTGGACCATCTAGGGATCCAAAGTTTGCTAGACACTGCTAAGAGGACATCTCACTGCTCGCTGAATGTGGGTGCTGGGAATCCAATGTGGTTTTTCTTCAACTTATTGTAGTTTGGCTACAGTCATGCAGAAAACAAAGAGTTGGATTGAACCAGGGATTTGATTTTTTTCAAAATGAATGTGCATAAAAAATGTCGGAACATGAAAGTTGAGGATAATGGGGCATGATTTAAAATAATGCATGTGGCTAAGTTATTTAAAAGAAGTGAAAGCTAGAGGGGGTTGGCAGAGTGAGCAAGAGACTGGAGAATTTTGATGACAGAAAAGAGTAGGAAGAAGCAGTGAGTAAGGAAAACGTACATGGTTGAAGTTAGAAACTGGAATATGAAGTGTGCCCCAGTCTGTTACTTCAGATGCCTTCTTGCTAGCACCTAACAGGAAACCTGCTGTGGTCAGTTCTCGTCCTTTAGGCCTCAAAACTGATTTCCAGACAAAATATCTGTACCATTCTCTAGTAGGTTTATGTGACTATTGGATGAATAAAATTATGGGAAGTGTGGAATTCCCTTTATTAGATTTCATAAATTCTAAGAATGCTTGAAGATGTAGGGTTTTTTTTTTGGTTGTTATTGATTTTGTCCACCCAGAACCCCTTTCCTTCCTTTTTCTAGTTTAAAGAGTGATGAAGGGAGAGTAAATGCCATTCCTCATTGATCTTTTCAGAGAGTGACTCACAGTGCAAAATTTTATCAAGTAGAACGTCCCCTAGAGTTGTACCAGCTGTGGGGAAGTGTATGATTTTCTTTCACAGAAAATTTTCTACCCTGCACAATTTGGAGGAGGGGCAGTCATACTCTTCAACTCACCTTTTGAATGGAATACAAAATATGGCCATAGCAATGAGCAATGACACCCACAGGTACCACCATGCAGCCAAGAAATAAGAAAAGCATAAAGGAGGAGTCACTGGTGTCCTTGGATTTCCAATCCACAGTGCAGCCTAGTACATGCACATCCAGGATGTGCCTGTGCCAGCCCAAAAAAGGTGTTCCTGACCACACCAGTGAGTATAGCCAGATGTATGTAATGGCCCTCCAGGCCCAGGAAAAACTGATCACTCTGTTATGGATCATGCCAATATAATGTTCACAGGCCAGTGTAGTTAGGGTGATAATGGAAACAATACCTGCAAGAAGAGAAAGTGGGACAGCATAGCACGGTGCTGTGGGGTTGTGGGAGAAGACAGGCAGAACAGAGCAATACATTCTCTGCTGGCAATACCTTACAGAGTATCTGGAACCAACAAGGTGCTCTAAAAACCAAAATATCTTAATAGAGATAATGCCTCACAGTCCCCAGGAAACTCAGTTGGAAACATATTTACTCATAAAAGAAAATGTGGAATGGAAAATGGCACGTGAGTTATAGCAGCACAAAAATAAAAGCTCTAAAATCAGCTCTAGCCCAATGGTACAGCTGTTGTGTTAAATTTTCTGCCAAAGAGAAACTCTGGAGCATTTCAGGAAGAGTCACTAAAAAAAAGTCTCTTTTGGTTTTGACTTCTCTCAGGTATCTGACTCAGCTATAGAGATAAAGTCAAAATGGGTTCCACAAATGTGAACTGACCAAAGTGATGGTAAAATTACACAAGAGCTGTCCTAACCTACCTACTAGCAGTGTCAGCCTATGAACTTTCACATGCAAGACTACTGACGGAGATGGAAGTCTTCTGTGCTCCTGTGTCTTCATCTATACTTTTATTTTGCAACAAATAGGCTTTAACAAGATTATTCATTTATTTCTCTACCTCTCCCGAGAGAGCAATTTATTCACTCAATAATTTATATATTTCATATATTAATTTGTTTATTCATTAACTGCATGTGTCAATCATGGTGCTAGAAAATTGACGTGAAGTGGTGAGTGAAACAAGTGTTTTATGGAACTTATTACAGTCCAGTGGGTAAAAGAGAAGAGATAATAACAAACCAAAAAGCAAAACAAGTAAGTTAGTGAAGTGCTATGAAGGGACGAGAGGGTGCAGAAATAGAGAATAATGTGAGGTGAGGCAGGAGAGGGCATCTTTAAGGGAAATGTGGACAGGGTGTCAGGAAAAACCTCACTGTGCTCAGAGCTGAAACAGGGAGCCAACACTGTGATGTCAGAACACAGGAGTTTACTGAATTTTCCCTTCTTATTATTTAGTTCAAAGCAATAAGAAATTTATAAAATATAATATAGTTTTTGACCATAACTGTGTCTTAGCAAGCACAATGGGCTTCAAGTCCTGAATTCAGTTGCTATTATTCAGTACCATGACCAGTTAGTACAGACCTAGAGAGAGCAAGCCTTGCATTCCTCAGGCCCTCCCAACAGCACGGGTATATATAAGTAGCAGGCTTAGTCACACTGACTTAGTCTTGGATGGTGACCTATTTGAACTGACCTAAACTACATCCCTTTTTTGCAAAATATATGTCAGTCTCTTTTACTGGCGAATTTCAATCCTGAGTCCAAATTACTTTCTATATTCTAATTGATTCCCAGATCACACCCCTGGAGGATGAAAATGCATGGATAGTCTTACAACTATGTTACATGTACTTTTTAACTGATGTTAAGCCTAATTCTCTATTCTAGGTGACACTATGGGCAGGAAAGGGGAAGGTGACTGTTGCAAACTGGGCATCAGTTATGAGTCAAGCCCCATGGTAATCACTCTATGTATGGTATTTCTTTGTTTTGGAAAAAGAGGTCCGTGGCTCCAAAGGGTAAGGGATGATGGAGACATTTTTGTTTTTGTTTTTGTGGTACGCGGGCCTCTCACTGCTGTGGCCTCTCCCATTGCAGAGTACAGGCTCCGAACGCGCAGGCTCAGCGGCCATGGCTCACGGGCCCAGCCGCTCCGCGGCATATGGGATCTTCGCGGACTGGGGCACGAACTCGTGTCCCCTGCATCGGCAGGTGGACTCCCAACCACTGCGCCATGAGGGAAGCCGCTGGTGGAGACAATTTTGAGAACCCAGGACTGACTTCAAAACTCGACTTTGTTGTTACACAGCCTATTGTACTACAGGGCAACTTCTATTACCCTACCACTTCTATAGGGCTAGTGTGATGTCCCTGCTACCCCTGTAAAGCTGTGAACTGATCATGTATGTATTAAGTGTCTCTTACTCTGCTGAGTAGTTCTTGTAGGAGAAATCAGAGACATATGGTCCCTACCTTCAAGGGGACTACAATATGCTTATAAAGCCAAGACTAACTCATGTGCAACATTTAAGGGCAATGTAAGATGGGCAATGTAAGATGATATGTAATCATATGTTGTTTATTGTGCAACAACAAACCAGAAAAATGAAATCCCACTGGATTGTTTTTTGGGGATGGCTTCATGAAGAGGTAAAAGTTAAGCTGTGTCTGAAAAGATGGACTAGGTGTTAAGAAACAAAAAGTATCAGGGAGGGCATTTCTGACTGGAAGGAGAACTTCTACAAAGGTAAAGCAATCCTCTTTGAATTCGTGTAACAACGTCTAAGATCCCAGACATGTGGAGAGGTAGAAATATTAGTCGTTACCAGGCTTGTACACATCTGACCATGCCTTCTGTGGCTGTCTGTGGTTCATAGCAGGGGTCTTCAATCTTTTTTCTAGTGTTTTTCCTAATAGAATTTTGAGAAACTATGTATATTCTCACATTTTTAAAGAGATATATTTACATTTTTTCACCTTAAGTTTAAAGAGTCATGCAATGTAAATATAATTTTAATAGAGAAGAACGTTTTGTATTCTATTACAAGTTAATCACTAAAGGGATATTGCCTATAAGCTTAAACAATACATAATGACCCATCTCTGGGAACACTGACTCCCAGGTAATGAGCATTAAACTAAAATAACTTTGTTTAGCTCACAGGAAACATCCTGACTAGGCCTACGTGTGAATGACTGCAGGAAAGAAGAAATTAACACATCCCCTGCAGAGGCTGACTGGAACCAGGAAAGGTTTGACTTTACTCCCTCCCCTTTTAGTATAAAAGAAGCCTGAATTCTAACTCAGGCAAGATGGTTCTTTGGGACACAAGTCCACCATCTTCTCAGTCTGCTGGCTTTCAAATAAAGTCACTATTTCTTGACCCAACAACTCATCTCTCAATTTATTGGTCTGTTGTGCAGTGAGCACTATGAGCTTGGACTCAGTAACATAAACATTGAAAAATATATTTCTTTACTCTTTAAATATATCCAATGATTCATAAATGTTAGTAATTCCATAAACATATTTGTATCTATATGTGCATATATATATATTTACATGTCTATACACAAAAACCCACACATGTAGATGATCAATCATTCAAACTCATAATTCCCTTCTGCTTTTCCCTTAAAAATTTTTATAGCAGTTTATTTATTTTAATTTTATTTTTTATACAGCAGGTTCTTACTAGTTATTTATTTTATACATGTTAGAGTATATATGTCAATCCCAATCTTCCAATTCACCCCACCACCACCACTCCCCACCCCACTTTCCCCCCTTGGTGTCCTTATATTTGTTCTGTACATCTGTGTCTCTATTTCTGCCTTGCAAACAGATTCATCTGTACTATTTTTCTAGATTCCACATATATGCGTTAATATACCATATTAGTTTTTCTCTTTCTGACTTACTTCATTCTGTATGACAGTCTCTAGGTCCATCCACGTCTCTACAATGACCCATTTTCAATTATTTTTATGGCTGAGTAATATTCCATTGTAAATATGTACCAAATCTTCTTTATCCATTCATCTATCGATAGGCATTTAGGTTGCTTCCATGACCTGGCTATTGTAAATGGTGCTGCAATGAACATTGGGGTGCATGTGTCTTTTTGAATTATGGTTTTCACTGGGTATATGCACAGCAGTGGGATTATTGGGTCATACGGTATTTCTATTTTTAGTTTTTTAAGGGACCTCCATACTGTTCTCCATAGTGGCTGTATCAGTTTACATTCCCACCAACAGTGCAAGAGTGTTCCTTTTTCTCCACACCCTCTCCAGCATTTGTTGTTTGTATATTTTCTGATGATGCCCATTCTAACCAGTGTGAGGTGATACCCCATTGTAGTTTTGATGTGCATTTCTCTAATAATTAGTGATGTTGAGCATCTTTTCATGTGCCTCATGGCCATCTGTATGTACTCTTTGGAGAAATGTCTATTTAGGTCTTTTGCCCACTTTTTGATTGGGTTGTTTGTTTTTTTGATATTGAGCTGCAGGAGCTGTTTATATAGTTTGGAGATTAATCCTTTGTCCATTTATTCATTTGCAAATATTTTTTTTCCCATTCTGAGGGTTGTCTTTTCATCTTATAGTTTCCTTTGCTGTGCAAAAGCTTTTAAGTTTCATTAGGTCCAAATTTTTATTTTTGTTTTTATTTCCATTACTCTAGGAGGTGAGTCAAAAATGATCTTGCCGGGATTTATGTCAAAGAGTGTTCTTCCTATGTTTTCCTCTAAGAGTTTAATAGTGTCTGGTCTTACATTTAGGTCTTTAATCCATTTTGAGTTTATTTTTGTGTATGGTGTTAGGGAGTGTTCTAATTTCATTCTTTTACATGTAGCTGTCCAGTTTACCCATCACCACTTATTGAAGAGCCTGTCTTTTCTCCATTATATATCCTTGCCTCCTTTGTCATAGATTTGTTGACCATAGGTGCATGGTTTTATCTCTGGGCTTTCTATCCTTTTCCATTTATCTATATTTCTGTTTTTGTGCCAGTACCATATTGTCTTGATTACTGTAGCTTTCTAGTATAGTCTGAAGTCAGGGACTCTGATTCCTCCAGCTCTAAGTATTTCCCTCAAGATTGCTGTGGCTATTTGGGGTCTTTTGTATCTCCATACAAATTTTAAGATTTTTTTGTTCTAGTTCTGTAAAAAATGCCATTAGCAATTTGATAGGGATTGCATTGAATCTGAAGATTGCTTTGGGTAGTATAGTCATTTTCACAATACTGATTCCTCCAATCCAAGAACATGGTATATCTCTCCATCTGTTTGTGTCATCTTTGATTTCTTTAATCAGTGTCTTATAGTTTTCTGAGTACAGGTCTTTTGCCTCCTTAGGTAGGTTTATTCCTAGGTATTTTATTCTTTTTTGTTGCAGTGGTGAATGGGATTGTTCCCTTAATTTGTC